TGAGCTGCCAAGAGCCGCCGTGAGCGGCCGTCCAGAGGCCGGCAAGCAACTGCCTCAGCCAGGAAGAGCGTAATGATCACAATGCCAACATGGGCCAGTGAAGCGGCGTCCTCCACAACTAGACTGAAGAACAAAAGGACAGCAACTTGTCTGTTCCCCTTCCCCAATTTCCCAGAGCTGTTCCCCTCCCCCAATTTCCCAATAAAATCTTTAAAAAAAAAATTAATCAGTTTATAAATTCATATTGTATCAGTGCTGTAACAGCATCCCTCGCACTGCATGTTTTACATATGCAACAAGTGAGGCTAGGGTGAAAAATGAAAACAGCTGGAATTAAAATCCATAAATCCCTTTACTTACTAGTTCATTCTTTATTTAACTTATGTGACCATAAGAGACATTCTAATAGACTTCATTTCACCTCAACATATGTCAATTTATCTAAAAACATTTAGTCCAATAATTACCTTACAAATGAAGATTTTAAGATATATAATGGAAACATGGAAAACTTACTCTAGCTCGAAGATATCCCAGGTTAGACAATAATAATGGAAACACATGATTCTGCAATAACAACTCCATTTGGTCCTTGAATAAACTCTTCTGTTAGGAAATAGAAAGTAAATTTCAACTTAACGTCTTCATTATACGTAAAAATCACATCGTAATAAAGTATGTTTATTATGACTTACACTTACTTCTACTTACAATTTTGTAAAATTACTTGACCTACACATTGCATGTTTTAAAACAAGTCAGAAATAGTACCTTAAATATAATTTGATACTGATTGATTTTTGTTGAAATAGTCATTTAATATTCCTTTCTTATATAGCAACAGTTTCACACTGAAAAACTGTCAAATTTTTGTCAGATATTCACTTTAAAGAAACAGGTGACAGAAGAAAGGATATTTACAGTCAACTCAATTATGCAGAAGCAGTCACTACTTTTAAAGTACCATAATTTTCATATTCTCTCATTTGCCTGTGCTTCCCAGTTTTAAGTAAATTAAATTTTGAGTAGCTTAACCTTCAATAAAATATCAGCTAGGGAACCAATCACATGCAGGGCTCCATCTTTCTTCCTAGGGTCAAAGTTCGGGTCTGTTAGGATTTGATAACAGAATGCCATCATTTTTGGCAATACCTAAAGAAATAGAAGAATCCATTTTAGTCTATATTAGCTTTCATTAACTCATTATTATTAAATATGATGCACAAATTTTCAAAATTAAAGCCATTTTTCTGTGTTTTACCAAGCAATTATAATTAACAAAATAACCATTTTCCCTTACTAGGACAGAAAAATATTCTTCAAGTGAGAGATTATAGCTAATAATACAATTTTTCAAATACTAGGGTTATATTACAGTGTCAAATCAACACGGGCCATCTTTCAATTTTGGATTTAAAAAGAATAACTATATACCTCTTTTCTTTTCTTTGCAGCAGTATATAAGAGAGTCTGGGCTGCTGTGGTGGGAGAAGCATAATCTTCAAAAATATCTAAGATTTTAAAAAGTTAAACCATGTTAGTAAAAATGCAATTACTTACTATAGATTTAAACCTGATTAGTCACTAGTCTAAAACCAAGAAATAAAAAAGTCTACATATGAACACTGGTTTACAGCATAAAAAAGCTAAGGATGCATCAGTGCTTTCATGCACAAAAGTATTTATCAAACTCTACAGATTGTCCTTTTAAACAATCATATTAAAGGAAATAATACATTTTAGGCATATATTTTGTCTGAGGACAAGAAAAGTGCTTCATCTCTATCAAAAAAACAACAAAAATGATTTAGTGCTTACTATGTGCACTGTTCTAGGCTCTGGGGACACAAAGCTCAAACAATAAGGTTCTCATGGAGCTTACGAGGTAAGAGAAAGAAACAGATTACACACACACACACACACACACACACACACACACACACACACGGTCAGGCTAAGAACAAATGTACAACAGGGTAAGGAGAAAAGGAGACAGCTAGTTTAAACAGGGTGTCAGGAAAGCCTCTCCAATTTTCCATTAAGGTAACACTTAAGCAGAAATTGAATGAACAAGGGAGAAATCTCCACATGACAATCTAAATATAAAGTTCTAAGCAGAGGAACCAGCAAGTATAAAAGTCTTAAGGGACTACCAGGACAGCAACTGGCTCTGTCAACAGGTATGTTTAGCAGGTACTCAATGGGTATTGGTTGAATACATGCCTATTTAAAACAAATCGCTTAACTACATGGAAATTTTCAAATTTCAGAATAGGCAGTTTTATACAAGAATATGAAAACTTGAGAAGTATCTGATATATCCATATTTAATATAAAAATAAAACAAAACCTAAGTCTTTGCCTGAAAATATAAAACGTAAACATTCTAATACTAATAACTAACATTTACTGAGTACTTACTCTGCGCCAGGCACTACACTGAGATTTTACAAGCATGTGGTATTGTACGCCAGTTATATGTAGCATCCCACTTTATCCATCCAGCACTAGTACCACTGCCCATTTCATAGATGAAAACATTGCATCTCAGAGAAGTTACATAATTTGCCCACAGCCACACGAGTAAGCAACCATGCCAGCATTCACATTCAGGCTGCAACATCAATGCCTAAGCTCTTGCACTTTTTACCAAATCTAAAACCTTTATTATTAACATTAGCGAATACATTAAGATAGTACTGTTTTGTTCATGTAAATAATTGCAAGCGACAAAAACATGAAAAGAAAACTAATGCCATAATTGTTCTTCCCTATAGTTATCCAAAAGTAAAACATACGTATCAAATAATAGCCACTGCACTCTAGTCCAGAGAAGTAAGTGGTTAAGGAAAAAGTACTTTGGCTAGTTGTGACTTATCCATATTCTCTTTTAATCAATAAAATGTAAATTCTGACAATCAACACTCACAGATCTTAATTATTTTATTTCTAAAAACTGAGATACTATCTTATTTGATATGAAGAATAAGTGAAATAATGGTAGCTTTCTGAAAGCTAAACAAATACTCTGCACGTTACAAAGAACACAGGTATTAGAGAAAACCTAAACAGTAAAAGAATGCCTTGAAAAAGACATAAGTTTGGCTAATCATTCTGCTCCTAGGAAAACAAAAGCACTAGGAAAGGGAATAATAAATCATGCCCATGTGTAATGATTTCCAAAAGGAAACGAGAATGGAGGGATAAAGCAGATGGTAAACACCGTTTCTCATTCATTTGCTTTTCCTGTACTTTGTCTCCAAGGGAAGAGACACTTCCTCACTTCCTGAATCAAATAATTCTAAACACAAAGCACTGTAAAAACAACATAGCCCAATAATCTAGCATCTATACCAGCAGGCTCAACTCAAACAGCCAGAGACATCTGGCTGGACAAGGAAAAAGCACTATTGTCAGAGCAACCTTCAGCATGCCTTGGGGAATGCTATTTTGTCAATTATTTATTTCGACATTTATTGAAGACTAAAGCCAAACACTAGTAAAAGAGTGCAGAGGTATAGAAGGGATGGAAAATGCAAAATAAAACAAATAAATAAGATTAAGCCCCTGCCCTTAGACAGCTTTAAGCTGTAGGAGAAAAAGAGGTGCACACATAACATTTTGCTGTTAAGCGCGTGAGTATTCCATGAAGCAATTGATTCAAACTGGGGATAAATGGGAATGAATGCAGGCAATAGCTTCCAGGAAAATCTAAGCTAAAAGGACCCCCCAGAGAACTGAGCCACACAGTGGGGCCACTGTGGGTAATCGCATTCCTTTGTGGAATACTTAATCTCTAGGAAAAGCAGGCAAACTAAATTGGAGTGCTCCTAAAATATGCAGAAATCCAAAGGATCTCCTACACTAAGCACAATCCAATCTACAAATGGGTATCCCAAAAGGCACAGAAAGAGATCAGCCTCATAAACAGAAAAAGTTACAGATGGCTCCATGGCTGCTTCACCATCCACAAAAGGAATGAATAAAGCGGCTTTTCATGTCCCGCACCCAAAGGTCTCAAGTCCACTGGTTAACATCAAACGCTACTGAGTTTCAAAGTTTATCATGAAAAGCAGAACCTTGGGAATTTAACAAAGTAATAAAATCTGCTTAAAAATATGAATTTATTTCTATTACTTTACATATCCAGGAACTGATGAGGAATAAAATCATCTTGATTACCAAATTTCATCCTTATATACTCATATGGATCTTCTTGCCACAGCTCTTCATCCTCATCTTTATAACACATCACAGAAAAAATCACATCTTCAGAGATATTCTAAGAAGTGAAAAAACAAAACAACAAATGGTATAGACTTCAAATCTGGGGAATACTAAAATGTATTTACTGACAGCCTTTGTGATGTCAGTTTTCCAAACTGTTGTATTCATCTTTCTGTGAAGCTTGCATTGGCTACGGGAAGAGCCTGGGGTGAGGGCAGGGAGGGAGGCAGGGGGGCAGATTAAACATAAGATTGTTTTTAAATAACAATTGATAAAAGATATACAGAAAGAGGTAAATGTAAACGCTATTCTTTGAAGCAACAGCAGAGATAATAAAGTTTTACTGCCAAATCAATATTAAACATACCTTGATTCTTTAGGGAAGAGAAATAAATATCAAACCAAGGTTACATTTACTATTATATTTCTTATCGTGAACAGTTTTTACATTTCCATTTTGGTCCTAAATGTCAACATATCAACAATATTAAAATTTTCTGGGCTGGCTGAGTGTCTCAGCTGGTTAAGAGCTCACTCAAGAGTTTGAGCTCTGAGCAACAGTGGTTTGATTCCCGCCCGAGCTGAGCTGCCACTGAGCTTCCAACAGGTGGCAGGATTGCTCAGCTAAAAAAAAAAGAAAATTTTCTTTTCTTCTTCCATTTTCAAAAACCTAATTTCCTATTCTACAATGCAATTTTGGAGGGGGAGGAATCTGTATCTAATAGCCTCTATATACACTGCCCCTAACGCCCCACTGAGCCCTTTTGTGCTATAACAATTACATATGTAAGCACAGGATCATCTCTTAAATAAATTAAATATTTCTAAGAGGAAAAAATTCAGCCTAAGGATTGGAGTTTTCTTATTGGTACATTCCAGCCATGTAAAAAAAAGGCCAAAGGCACCAACTAGAAAAAAAAAATGCTATCATAATATACTTTACAGAAACACAGTAAATAAAGTGAAAGCAATATCTTTATTAACTGCAAAGAAATTATCCCTACTTTACCAACGAGATTTAAGTAAATATTAAGATGTCCACAGAAAAGAATGCAAAAAATACTATATTTGTAAGACCTATAACAAGAAAACACTAAACAAATTCTATACTGGACACCAAAGACAAAGAAAAAAAATTTATTTTCCTTTTTAAATACCATTTTAGAGATTAAAAAATTTAAGAATTTATAGTTTAAAAGGAAAAAAAATTCTGATCCTACCTTCTTCGAATTACCCAAATAATCTGAATGCAAGTAAAATTTATTAATGGCTCATAATTTTCATTCTTATTTGTTCTTTAATTAAATAACTTTAAGTTCTGAATTCTACCTTTAAATAAACAACAAAGTAAGATCAACTGAATCCAAGTCTTCTAACTCATAAAACTTGAAGTTCTCAATCTTGTCAAATATTTACATTTCCAAGCCAATAAAAAGAAAATTTCCAAGCCATTCATATCAGCTACAAGACTACATGTATTTAAAATTAAAAATGCAGGTAAAAATATATTCAATATACAATATGAAATTAGTAATATTTACTTTGCCTAGAAAACTTAACAAGAGAATAGTTTTAGAAAGCTACTCCCTGACACTGACCTGTATGTGTGGCTTCATCTGCTTCCATGTTACAGAATGAACAATTCCTTGGTTGAGATAGTTGAATGCTTGCTGAAGAACCCGGGGGGCTACATACTCTTTCTGTCTATACTGGTCTAAAATTTTTAGTAGTACCTACAGGAATACAGAAAGTATAGCAGAACATGAACAATTTTAAGGTTGAAACGGAGGGGCATTTTAGGCATGACATAAAACCCAAAATCTGTAAAGATAAAAACTAACAGATTTTTAGGGAAATCAGTATTTTGTGAGAATGCTCACGGGAAGCTTTAATTATTAGATAGGTCTGTGTTATATTGAATTGAAGGGTGCCTCACTGTAATTTCAAGGCATTTGTCCTACTTCTAACCTGTAGAACTACCCAGAATAATTCTACATTCTATTCCATATACTAGCTCTTCAAATAAATTAAGACTGCTGTTAAAAAAAATAACAACAACAGACTTGGATAAATGAACATTGAAAACATCCATACAGCAAGAGACACCACAAACAGGTTTTAATGTTTGATAAAATGGTGCATTTCAAATTGGAAGAGAAATGGTAAGTTATCCAAAAAGTAGTATTGGGACAATGGATTAGCCATCTGAAAAAAAAATAAAGCTGGTTCCCTAACTAAACTTCATACCAAAATAAATTCCAGATGGGAGATATTTCAACAACAATAACAAAAAAAAAAAAAAAAACATAACATTCCTAGAAGAAAACCTGGAAGAATTTTATTTTATAATCTCAAACTACAGAAAGTCTTTGAAAACAACACAAAACTGAGAAGTTATTTAATCTTAATTGATTAAAAACAAAAGATTGTTTATAAGGACAGAACCATGCCCAACGCAGCCATGACTGTCCCGGGGACCTTCAGTCAGAGGTGGCACTATGACAAAGTCCCAGTCTTCTAATTCCTGATCTCCAGAGTTCTTCACTATGGCAAGCTTATAACTGAACTGCTGAATAAATAAAAAAGGTTCTTTCAAAACATGTACAGAATTTATAAATTCAGAACATAAATTCAGTTCAAGTTATGGAAAATTCAGGTTTCTACAATTGGTCAGAAGTCCCACCCTCACCTAGAAGCCCCTTCTACAATGCAGGAGAAAAATGGATGTTATTGAACATGATTCTTCTTAACGCAGTTGTGGCTCATCAAAGTGGTGGGAGATGAGATATAAGACTAAAGAAAATAACAGTTTTTGATAAGAAAGCTGTTTTTAAATACTAGAAATACAATATATGCCTTAAATAACCAAGATACAAACAATTTATGACATGGATGCAATGGCATGAAATTCACGTGACACTGGAAAACTCTACTGAACACATTTCAAAAGGGCATCAGCTTTAGGGTGTTTAATGGGTTTAACAGCAGTAGAGAGCAGAAGACAAAGCTGACCAGCTTCCTAATTATGTTGCTACCCATAGTGAATTGCTGAACAGATCATTTTATTCATTACTCACTAAACTTTCCCTACAGACTGTCTCACAGGCCAATGAAATAATTTGTGAGAAAATTATAGCCATAGCTTTCCTGAACTGTTGCAAGGTAGGTTTTAGACATGATAATCCATAAAATGATACTAAACAAAATGATAATCTATAAAAGGAAGTAGGTTTGAAGTATCTAACTTTATATCATTGACAATGAAGATTAATCTGCATATTATAAAAATCTAGAAACACCCTCTATATCGTTAAAGCCTTTTACTGTGATTAACCTTTGCTTCCTCAATATTGTCCTAACACAGCCAGTGCTCAACAGTTATTAAATTTTATTTGTTGAAATATAAACATGATTCAAATGGCAATACAGATCAACCAATCTTCATGCCCATGTGTCCTTCATAGTTTTTAAATATTACTATCAACCTAGATTATTTCTCAAGAACTCCTAATTTCCACTGTACAGAATGGTTCCCAAACTTCCACAAAAAATGTTTAAGTTCTCAGCTGAAAGCCTTAACTTCTGAGCTCAACTCCTTGTGAAATAGATCGATACGTATCCTATAACTCTTCTAATATAAAAGCCTGGAACAAAAAGGTGAGGCTCAAAGAAACAGAGAGTAAGAAACTCCTAAGAGACTGAGACTTAATAAAAGAACCCATCTAACACTGGGTGACTGCTACACCAGTATCAACAAACTTAAAAGGTTTCAGTCCAACATCTAGGAGTCTGGAAGGCCACTTCTTGTGGTAGCTGCCCTAAGCCACTTGGTTCTAAAACTGACCGCACTGTATTAGATTCCCAGAGCTTCCATTTCATCCCTTTTAAATACATAACATATTGATATTTTTGTAACCTATGTTTAAATGGATAGAAATGACTTAACTACTGTCAATAGTTAACTGTCCTTCTATTTGAAAAGCATAAAAGTTTATTACCTGCTGAATTCCCACTGCATAGGTCTTCAAAAAGAATTCAGAAAATTCAAAGTATTCTTTTGTGACATTTCCTGGGCTTCCATATCTTAAAATACAAAGAAAAAAATGTTTAAATACCAAGAATTTTAAAAACAAGCATGTTCACTAGTTTAAATACAATACCTTGTTGAGAAATGTATTCTATTGGGGCAGAAAACTTTCCTCTTTTTTCACAAATTCCATAATGAAATCATGAGCTGTATTTAGACTCTGGGTCATACTTAAAATTTCAGAGAGAAGCTTCCATCTATTTAAGAGCTCATAAAGGAAAAATATCACAAAAAAATGTTTTATCTGATATATTTTTTTCAACAAATACTTATATAAGTAAATTTGACTAACTTCCCTGTAGAGCTGAATGGCTATGCACCTTCTCATACAATTCCTGGATATTTTCAATGAGCTTAACAATGTCACTTCATTCTTTTTACAGAAGAATAGAAAGATTCAGAGAAGAAGGACCACCTCATTACGATCTCAAAGTCAATGATCACAGTTAAGCCTACTTTAAAACAAACAGAGCATGCCTTTTTGCCCTCTATGGCTCTAAAGACAAATAATCATATACTATGGCACATCAAAGGATCTATCCAATTTTATTATATCCAATACTGAGATACTGACCATCAGATCGTAAATCTAATAAACAGAATTACCGTTCAAAAAGACGAGCTACAATATGCAGTGCCCACTTCTTACACTTCCACCAGACCAGCTCTGGTCTATCATCCTCGTCAATTTGCAGGGTCTCCTAAGAGGATAAAAACACCAAGATTAAATTTCTCCATAAAAGCGTTTATGTGAATAAACAAAGGCAGAATAAATGTTCATATAGATTAAGCAATATTAACTGTGAATTTAGATTGCCACACAAATGCAAATTCCCTCTTATAGATTGGTAGGTAGGAATTAAATCAGAAAAGCAAATTTCAACTAACCAATGTTGTTGCTCACATTTATCTCCTATCTTCAAAAGGCCCAAATAAGTAGAAAACAAATACAAAATATCATGTCACTTGAGGAAACTCTGGCCTGACAGAAAGATTCTATCTTGATCTGGATGATAGTAACACACGTGCATGTTTGTCAAAATTCACTGAACTGTTCACTAAGTTCTGTGCATTTATGTAAATAAATTAAAGCTTAATATAATTTATCCCAAGATACAAATAAAAGAAAAAAATACTGCAATTTTGAAGACAAGTTTAAATTTTAAAATATTTGATATTTTAATTGTTAATTTGATTAGTTATTTCAGTTAATTTGATAGGTGAAATAAACCATTATTGTTATTGCAGATAAAAATGATTCACCATCTTTTACCTATCAAACTGGCAAATAGAATTTTATATAAGAGACAGTCTCAGTCACTGCTTATTAAAGTATAAGCCAGGGCAATGTTTCTGGAGAGCACTTTTGCAAGATCTGCCAAATCCTTAAATAATTCTAGAAGTCTATCCAAGAAAAATAATCACGTGTGTTTATAAAAATTTTATTATATCCTTATAGCTAAAACACTAAAAAAAATAAATAAACCTAAACATCCAGCAAATGAAGCATCCAACAGAAATGACAGAGTATAAAAACATTTTCATTATTAAAAAGAAGTATTTACAGTAGATTTTAAGTGAAAAACATTTTCAAAACAGTACCTACGTATACCATTTTTATAAATAAAGTACATAGACACAGAGAAAAAAAGGCTAGAGCAATAAAAACCAATTTTTAACATGGTTTTTATCATTTTTAGGATTAAATATAGTTATTATTTTATTAGTTTTGCTTATCTGAACCTTCTAAAATTAAGTACATATTATTACTTTTTATTACAGCAGTCATGTTTTTTCCAAATAGGCTAGGATAATAAATCAGCTACCACAAATATTCCAAACCCAAGTTTTCCGAATTTTTCTTAGGAACAGAAGCGCTTTCTTACAGGAGGAACTGTCCTATCAATAATAGTTCGAAAGATCTCCATCCATGCTGTCATGGTTTGGTTATTCACCAGTTGAAGAGGTAACGCATACTGAAAACAAAAGAATAACATCATCAAACAATAATTCCTTCCCTCCAAAAAAAGTAAGCAATTTCATCTATACTGGAAGGTTGAAATATATAAAATGGCTAACATTTGACTATGAAACAGTAATTTCATATGGTTCAAAATTTAATTTAAAATAGATCTATAAAGCATGAAAATTAAATTTTTAAAATATATTAGTATATATGCTATGACTTGTTTCTCTGGGCTACATTTTTTAAAATAAAACATATTTTTAATACAGTAAGGTCTCATTTATTCAGCATGAGGTTCTAGATAAGTGGTTTTTACCATTTACCCCTTGGTCAAACTTTTCATTTTAACTACTTTTTTCCCAGCTTTACAGATAGTTGACATATAACATTGTGCAAATTTAAGGTACACAATGTGATGATACGTATACAGACTGCGGAATTAGTACCACAATAAGATGAGTTAACATCCCTATCACCTCACATAATTACCTTTTTTTTGAGGTAAGAACACATTTGAACCACTTTAATGAAAATCTTTACCTCATGAAACATTTTTTCAATTACTGTCCTCTATACTATGGCATAATACCCCAGTCTGAAGTATTACACATAATATCACAGCCACTGTATTACTGTGTGTCCCCCTTGCTACACTGTGAGTTATAGATGAGGCACAGCACCTCTGCATCCATGCATTCCAAAACCTGCTACGTGCTAAGGACATAATGGTAAGTGAGAGACAGTCTCTGTCCTCAAAAAGCTTACACTCTAGTTGGGGGGGGGGGACATATATAAACAAGGAATTGCAATATGGTGTGATAAGAGTGTACAGATAAAAGCAGCACAATATTGAGAAAGGTACAGAGGAGGACCACCTCGTCCAGCCTGGTAGTACCAGGGACACTTCCTGGATGAAGGACATGCAAGCTGAAACCTGGAGGAAGAGCACGAATCGGCCAGGGCAGAAAGAGTAAGATGAGTGGCCCAGGCAGAACGACAGTATTTTTAAGGCTCCAAAGAGAGGGCATGACCTGTTCATGGAGCTGAAAGAACTTCAGTGTGGCTGGAGTATGAAGCACAGAGGTAAGAATGGTAAAAGATAAGGTGGAGACATGAAGGGCTTTATAAGCCACGTTAAGAAGTTCACACCTTATTCTAAAGTACAATTTGGGAAGGCATTTGGGCTTGAGAAAAGGAACAGGGGAGGAGCAGGCTCAGGGCTGGGGGAGAGTGACGATGCATTCACTTTTGGACAAACTGAGTCCTGAAGTTTTGTATGAAATATCCAAATGTCCTGGACACAATAAGTATTTAATAAATGCTACTTAGACCAAGTCAATTTAATTGTATGAGACTTTTCAAAACATAAATATTTTGCCTCTTCCCAAATTGTCAGATAATCACTGTTTACTTACATTATCACTGTAATTGTGCCTCTTAAAGCCTTCTAAATTTTTGCTTCCAACGTTCCCAGAGGGAGCATATTGCTTTAGTGGCATGTAATAGATCACCAAAATGGTTTAAAATGTTGAGGTTTTTCCTTGTTCTTTTTTTAGGTTTTAGCATGTACATGTTGAGAGAAAACATTTTAGATTTTTGCCCTCTTGGCAAATCAGGTAGAAGTAGAGGATTTAGGAAAATTATTTCATCAGCCTCTCTCTTACTTCCAGATTCCTGGCTGTACTTCTCCCAATGGGAAAGGGAAAGCCGACCTCTGAATAAATGGGGTTTTACAATTTCTAATGGCAAAGTATCTCACTGATTAAAAAATATTTGCCTCAGAGTAAAATGATTCTCCTGAGGAAAATTTCTGAACAGTGCTTTAATAAAAAAGCAAAGGCACCATACATCTTCCTTCCCTACTACTTTAAAAAAAAAGTGTCAGGGAATGTATTTTCCTAGTATCCCAGTTTCTTCTCTCTTCTCAGATTTGCCTCCTTCCCTCTTCCCTCTCCACCAAAAAAAGCTGAGCTGAAAAAAAATCTGTCTCAAACTATTTCTTAATTATTAAAAGTTTAAAAGATGAGGCTAGGGCCAGCCGAGAGGCTCAGTTGTTAAGAGCTCGCTGAAGAGTGTGAGCTCTGAGCAACAGCGGTTCAATGCCCGGCCCAAGCTGCGCTGCTGCTGAGCTGCCAACAGGTGGCAGGATGGCTCAGCTTAAAAAAAAAAAAAAGTTAAAAAAAAAAAAGATGAGGCTAAAAGTATAAATCTTTATTGAAGTGAAATATTCAAAAACACTACAAAAGTACTCACGTCACATATAAAGCCAGGAGCAAAACCAAACTATCTTGGCTCTCTAGCTCAAACTATCATGCCCACTTGCAATGACTAATTTAACTAAAAAGCATGTAAGAGTGGTTTAATTCACTCATCATCAAACAGTTTAGACTAACAATAATTATTCTTCCTCTATGCATATCTAAATAATTTACCCAAGTCTTCCAAGGATTAAATTTTAAATACTTTTATATTTAAAACACTCCTTTCTCCATCATCTTCCAATTGCATTTTAGATTCCCATATTACTATTCTTTACACCTTCCAGATAAGAAAAAGGAAGTATTTTAAATGAATGAAAATGGGGCACTCAATCTTCTTTTTTAGCTTTAAATGAGGTTAAATGCAAAGAAACTACCATCAGTATGATTTCCCAATGAAGAAGGACTCTCTTCTTTTCCTTTCTCTTCACCTATAATCATGACTAATCTATAGGCAGAATGCGATGGACAGATCAGTCAAGTAATCAGGTTTTAGGGCAGTTAACAACCCTGGTTCCTCCACACCCAGCACTTCAGACACAGAAATAAAAAGAATACAAACACTGAATCTCAGCTCTGCCACTAAGATAAACTTGGACTATCAAGTTATGTTCTGTGAGCCTGTTCTATCATAAGGAGTTTTGTTTTAAGAAATATATGTGAGAATATATAATAATTTTTAACAATATCTGACTTATGGAGCACTTTCCATGTGTCAGGCAGAAAAATAAGGCCCCATATTTATCTTCCGCAACAGAAACCTACCTGAACAAGTGCATAAAAGATTTTCAGAATCTGTTTCTGTAGTAAGACAGAATAATGCGAGGACTCAGGAAGGAGCTGCATGATTTGCTGTTGAATACGAGGGAGGAATATTTGCATTGCTGCTATAAGAGGTTCTCTTTCTTCTGCTTTCTTATATCTACACGAGCAAAGACAAAAAAGAAAAATAATTTCTCCCCTTACAAAAGAGCTGTAAGTTGTGAATGAAAAAACACATTTTTTAAACTATATAAAGCTAACAAAACAAAAACATTCCAACCATGGGCTTACAACTTGTTTGGATTGTTAGAATAAACTTAGAAGAAACTTTAAAAGAGCACATTCCCGTTCTAGGCAGAATGCTTGGTCTTTCTAGAAAGAATTAGACTAGTTTAAAAGAATCCAACACTATTTTATAACTTTCCTAAATACATTTTTCTACTACTTTTTCATCATACCGCAATTCGTCCTATAAGATACAGGGTGACATGTCTGTTTAAATAGACATTCCTATTATATAACAAATAATGTGGGGAGGAAAAAATATTTCTTCTTATACCATCCAATATTGAGAAATTAGAAGAGTTTACAAACTTAGGTGTTCTTAGATCACCTGAATTGCTACAAATCAAAAATATCTTCTAAAAATTCTAGACTATGAAATAACTGGTTTTTTTTTTAAAAAGCTACAGGAACAAGTAGCAATCCTCTTACAACCCAGGAAGCAATGCTATTAAATGTGACACTCGTCTCCCACCTCCCAAGCAACTTTTATAGAAGAGAAAGTCACTAGCAAAGAAACTTTAAAATTTTCTATCTGCATCCAGAAAGTTAAATGTCTGGTTTGTTTAATAACGTGCTCACTTCAAGACAAATATTAAGGTACCTTTATATCAGAGTTTCCAAGGAAAGCTGTTAATAAATGGTCCTTTGAAACTAACAAATAATTTTGAGAAGCACTGCATTATCGTGTCACTGCCTCAGAGATTAGCAATGTCCATTGGCAGATGAAAGGTTCTTTGAGTAACTGTAGTCAACATGTTTATATTTAATGGTGCTTAACCCAGCATTTGCCAATAACCTGACTCTGCAGAACACCCTCAGCAGACCCCTCTATGAAAGTTAGTTTTTCTAAGGAACACAAGGCTGATATTTTCAACTAATAGAAATCAACTTACTCATACGTCTTCACCAGTTGATACAGACATAATAAACTGCCAAGCCAGCTTCCACTGCTCTGTAATTGCAAGTAATAGCCTATCTTGTCGACAACTGCGGGCCAGTGACCAGGGAAATCGTATTTAATGATGGCACGGAGACACATTGTTAACTGGACTCTATAAGGTGGGGGGAAGAAGTCCAAAAATCTAAGTAGTTATAAATATCAGGTTTACATAAAAGCACTGTAACTCCTATTCACCTACATTACATAGTTATATACCTGGGGTGGGAGGACAAAGAGCGGTCCCATAAAGAAAAACCTCCTCAGTAGCTCAACTGACCGAAAAGAAACAGATCAGGTGATTTCCTAAAATAAACTTTTCAAATGATCTTATCCTAAATACGGCTTTGAAAAACAAATGAATTTAAAATTAAATTCATAAAAATTTTTCCCAAAAAAAAAAAAAAAGACAATGACTCCACCTCAGCAAAATTTCCCAGTATTTTGGTTGTCATATCCTGAGAAACAAAACAAAACACAGAAAGTATTGCATCATTTCAACTGGACAAACCACCTAAAAATGGTCAGAGTATGTAAAATGGAGGCCTGCATAATGGTGGGAAGGATTTCTGTGTGCCAAACCTTGAAACATCCATTATCAGTTAACAGCCAAAAAGTATGCTGCACCTATCAAAGCTTCCTGAGATGCTAAATTTTGTTTCTGAGTGTAAGGCACAAGCTTGCAATTCTTGAAGAGAAAATCTAAGAGCTATTTCCATAGATATAAAGAAAAAAGACATGGGAAAAAACATAAAAGAGAAAAAGAGGAATCCCTTTAATAAAACCACAAAGTTAAATAATAAAAGATGTGATGTCATAACACTTAGGTCAGTAATCATTTCTTCAACAGGATCCGAACTGTAATTGGTATTGAAAAGAAAACGAGGGGAAAAAAAAAAACCTCTTCTATAAACTATCAATAATATGTCCTTACATGGTCATTTGCCAGTGGTTAGAGAGTGAACCTGGCTAAATATAGATCTACAGTGAAAAAAGGAAAAGTGTGTGTGTTGAGCTGAACAGCCAATAACTTGGATTCACTGAAATGAAATAAACAAAATAATGCCTTTGCCTTATGTTACCAAAGCTATGTGAAAAATTTCCTTTGCAATACTCTTAAATAAACTTTGAGAATATTTCTTCAAGAGTGACTACAGTGAAGCCTTCAGGACATAAAGGAAGACGGGCCAAAGCACTGTCTATAAAGATAAAAGGTGTCTCCTTGTGCTACCAGCAGCTGTTCCTAAACAACCAATAGGTCATACTGGTGTGCAATAAAACTGAAACTTTTCAGTTTTTAAAATTTCATCTTCAGGTTGACCCTCCCAATCCTTTCTCATTCCAACCAAGCAAAGGATGGCTATGAATGGCCTTCCTTCCATGCATTGCTGTGTAGAGGCACTGCAGGATTCAGAGAGATCTGAAAATGTAAAGATTCTGACAAAAAATAGATACACTTGCCAGAGGAGTCACTGCCATGTTGGCATTTGGGCAACCAATGAGGAAAATTATTATTTCCTTTAATAAGTACACCTATTTTCTCTTCACTGACAAAATAACTACACAAAAAGGAATGCAATGTTTTTTCTCCTTCCTCACTGTTCCCTCACACTTTCTTCCCTTTTTCCTGTGTATTGTCATGACATACATTAGACACCCAGTGAAAAAGTGATATCTAATCTCTTGACATTAAACAATTTCATTCCCTGTTTCTTCTATTTCTCTCCTCCATTTTTTTAAAAGAAATCTAATTACTAGCTTATGTTGAAAAAAATGTATTTCTCCTATTTTAAGACTGCAAAATTTTTATGACTCTATAGCTGTACTATCCAATAGATAGGGGCAGACAATAGCTACATGCACACTTTAAATTAATCAAAATTAAATTGAAAACTCAGCTCCTCAGTTATACTAACCACATTTCAAGTATTCAACAGCCAGGTATGCCACATGGCTAAATACTGGACAGTGTAGATGGAGATTTCCATCACTGCAGGAAGTTCTGATGCACAGCGTTGCTCAATAGCACCTAACCTGAACTGGAAAAACCAGAGACAATTCTTCTACTCTATACCTACTCTATCCTGTCTTCTCAAAGGGAAAGATACTCAGTTCATAAAAATGAATAAAAGATAGGTAAAGTGTTAAGAAAAGTGGTAAGTTAAATCTCTCAGAAGTCACTTTCCCTACGTCAAGGGGAAAAAAAAAAGCAGACAGTAAAACGTCAGGAAATCATACCTAAGAACCTAAGTTATTTACATAGTGGGAATTTATACAATTTTAGTTCAGTATGATTTTTGCCTTAACTCTTTTTGTGGCAACTTAAGGCAACTGAATCTTTTCCAAAATACTGCAAAGGAATACAAATGCAAAGACAAATAAATAAAACAATATTCTTTGAGTGTCCATCTTGATTACTTTATCTCTTTCAGAAAACAAACTTGAGGCTGCTGATTAAAACCAACCTCCACCCCACCTCCATCCATGTATTTTGTGCTTCCTACTAATCCTAAAGATAATGTACCTCACTAAATCTGGAGACCGAATTATTCCTTCCACAATGTTATCACGGATTTGCTGGCGATCATTTTCATGAATGTTGAATGGAAATATTGCTTCTCCAGGTGGAGGTTCTCGGTCTGGCCAATACTGTGTCACCATGTTCTTCAAGTAAATGGCAGCTAAGTTAGAGAAAAAACGTTAATGTTAGCAGTATCAAAAAAGATGGCTTTAATTCAGCTTTACAGAGCATGAAAAGCTAAACCCTTCAATACTAAACATGACACTCCAGCAAAAACGGAAAATCTTACAGTTATAAGTAGCCAAGTGGGGAAGGTAAATGGATAAGAATTTAAAGTTTCTCTTTAGCTAGTAAAGAAAGTCTAGGCAGAAAACATTTCATTAAATCAAGCTGCAGCATTTATGTGACAAGAAAATGATGGAGGAATCAAGTATGTATCCTTAGACTAAATACAAGCTGGTCTAAGTGAAACCCTGCTAAAGGTACTTTGAGATCCTAAAAGCCAGAATGTTTATAATGCCTAAACTGAGCTGACAAACAGCTAAAATTCTACTGTCCTTCATCTAGATTGCTTTTCTGGTTTATTTTCTTTCACTGGCTACCATCCTGCACTACCATTTTGAAATATATATGCTTTTTATTGTATTAATAATTTTTATTTAACTCTTTTGAAATACTACTTACAAACATAAAGGAGAGAAAAGGACATCGGCCTTCCAATATTTTTGGAAAAATCTCAGGAAATTTCTTATTTGTTTATTTCTATCAAACATAATCAATGATTTTTATTCCTATTCTTTTTAACTCAACTTTAACATTTAACAAAAGGCCTCTGAAAAAAACAACCTGACATACTGTTACAGGGTTTTGATAGGGAATGTAAAACTTTCTAACCATCCCAACTAAACAGTGTATGTAGAGAAATAGATAAAATGTTGTATTCTTATATATCCATAATATATAAGCATAAGGAGATGTGATCTACAAAGCATTATAACTTTCTTCCCTTAAGTTTCTCCTCTCCCTTCTTACCCAACCCAACCCTCCGCTCATCCCAATTTTAACATAAAACTAATTGGCTCCTAAACGCATTATGCCCCAGAGAATAAACCAACATGTTCTACATTGCTATTATACAACAGAAATTTAATAAAATTATGAACTTGACACCCTATAATCTCCTCTTTCATTAGTTTTGATTCAACAAAGGTCTGAAAAAGATAACTCCATCTAGATTTTTTTGGGGGATAAAAACAAAATTATTTGAGAGAGAGAGAGAGAGAGAGAGAGAGAGAGAGAGAGAGATTGAGATTGGGTTTTTGTCTTATTTGTTTTTAATTAAAACAACACGGGCTCTGGACTAAGTACCATCTTTGATCCCAGTACATTTATTATATTTTATAACAGTGTTTGGCAATAAAAATGTATAGACTATTTAAAAAATGAATAAATGATCTAAGAATATGGTCCAATCTGTCAACAGTTCAGACAATTTCATGAGGTTAATCTTTGCAAAAAGAAAAAGCAACTATATTATACACAAAACTATTTTAATCCCTTTAGAACTAGTTTTAAAACTTAAAAGCAAACTTCAGACAGCAAAGATATACACATGGTAAAATCATGGACTTTCAGTCATTAAATGCTATTAATTTTATATCTAAAAAATATATATATTATAGGGCACCATACAAGATGGCCTTTATAAAAGGCACACTAATTTATACATGTTGAAATAAATCCATAATTAGTTAAAATAAAATTGAACTTAATGTAATCACTTGAAAAAAGAATATTAATTACACTTAAAGGTAATTATGGATTGCTAAAGATAATGAAGGAAAAACACCAAAGATAATCTAAAAACCTCTCTTTAATCATTTAATTCCAGTATCTATTTAACCATCTGCAAAAGCTAAGAAACAAAACACAAATATCATCTTAATACAATAACAAAGAAATTAAGTATTAAACTTTCTTTCTCCAAAATCCACTCACCATTTCAAACATCTTAAGTTTGAAATTAACGTGCTAAAACATATATGTACATACTTCTCTCTGTCTCAAGCACAATGAAGAATCACTTAATTCTATGCCCTGGACCTAGAGCCACAACTACACAGGTCCACCACGTTCTATAACTTCAAAGTAGAAAGAACGGTGCCATTATAAACTCAGTGAAGGAGAAGGCTGTGCTTTTTGAGTTGATGTTTCTAGGCTTCTCCATTTTTAATTGTAATGTGGTAGCCCCTCTCCCTTATTATTATGTTAATCTGTAAAGGCAAGGAAATCAGATAACAATGTGTGAGTATTACATCTATTGGGTTGTCGGAATGTCGGAAAAGTCATGACGCTTTTTTGCAATGAAAAAATAGAAAAAATACATCATGACTTTTACGACAACCCAATAAAACAAGGTTAACTAGATTCTGAGTAACAGCCAAGGAGCATCCTAGAAATAAGACACATGGGCTTTAATAAAAGTGCTTCCTGAAGCGCTTCTGGACTGATAAGAGGCATCTTTCTGTTTATTTCTAGGTTCTGTATTCTAGAACACTGAGGTTAACCTTAATAAATAAATAAATAACCTGTGACTAACGTAACTATAAACTGAATTTTTATATCCTCTACCATCCATCTTTTAGAAATACATACCCAAAAAGAGTCAGAATAACAAAAAAGAGGCAACTTACAGAAAACAAAAACCATGCTATTTTTCAAATGATGGTCCCACAGCAGTCACCAACGATGACTTCTTCATGTCAAATGTAATGCCACCTAACTACCACTTTTAAATTCAAACTCTTCTTCTGCTCTGAGCAAACTACAAACTGTACTCAATAAAGTGCATTTCTGAACCTAAGTTTATTAGTATCTCTTCCCTTAGGTGGTAAGGAGTAAAAAAATTGGAAACAAAGCCATTTGAGAGATTCCTGATCATAACTATCCTAAATTTTAGATGGGATACCTTCTCTGCACATTATATAATATTAATAATGCTATTAAACTTATCAATACCATAAAAGGAAAACAGCAGAGCAAACATCCAAATTTATTTTGTTTTGCTTGCCAATATCAAAATATTAAATGTTTTTCCTATTTCTTCACAGTGAAGTAATAAAAGACATTCATTAATGAACTTGCTTGATTGTAGCAAGAATATCTCAGAATTGCCCTCAAACAAAAAAAATTAAGAACTTAGTATTTTGCAGAACTATGTCTTCCCACTTAATATTAGCAAAATATTTTACAGGCTTTATACAGCTTTATAGCTTTATACAGGCTAATTTTTTTTTAATTAAAGATCATAGCATTCTTTTTTAAAGTCACACAAAAGTGATAAATTATCTATCTGGGTATCACCATAAGGTTCTTGGGACATCCTTGTATTTTAATAATAGATTAAATAAGGCAGAAAATTTGAAAGTGGCACTTAAATTTAGGATAGTTATAGTGTAGAATTTTACAGTGTTATTTCAGACTATGATAAAATGGATGCTCTAAGATAGAAGTTGTCCTAATAAAATAGGAAATGATCAACCACCAAGATAAACTCTGTCCTATGGCTACAGACTTGAAATCTACAGAAATTATGAAGAAACAATTTGTCTTTAAATGCTCTTTACATTTTACATCAAAACTTAATTATGTAAGTTATTAAGATTCAAAGTTGTATAGAGTAGGTTATGATATAGGGAGCCAAGCACTCTAAAGCACTGTTAATAGAAAAAGCAAGCAAAAGCAACTTGGTGATAAGATTAAAAATTCTAAATGTTAATATCATTAATATCCATTGACTAGCATTTCCATTTCTTCTAATTTATTCTACGAAAATATTCCCACACGTATCCAGAGATATATGTCCAAGGATGTTCATTTTAGCATTGCCTCTATCAACAACAACAAAAAGGGACAATAAAGGGAATGTTCATCAATATCAAATTGTTCAAGTAAACTATGTTAGTTCTATACAACGAAATACTGAACAGTTGTTACAAAGATTAAAGTATATGCATATGCACTGACATAGAACAATCCCTCAAGGGTACATGGTTAAATGAAAAAAAAAGGAAATTATAAAATAGTATGTGCAATACAAACAGTTTTTTGGAGAACCATGCACCAAAGTTGACAGCAGCTATCTTTGGGGGTGGGATTAAGAGCAATCTAATGTATAAATGCTGTTTGTCAGTTTATATGTCATATAAAGAAGACATACTAGTTTAATAAACTGCTTTAAGATCTTTAAAAATACTATTTCCACAAAGCTTCATAAGAACTTTACAATGGATCTACAAATACTTAGGTTATTAAAATAGGTTCCATTTAGCAAAATGTGGTTTCAGAACAGCCTGTTTTATGAAACAAAGGTTAAGTAAAATGGAGAGCAAAGATTCAAAAAACTTACAAAGAAGTCCTATAAACCTTATTAAAGTAAAAAATCATTCCAATATGAACGTTTTTCCATAGGTTTTTCTGATCTTAACCACAAAGGGATCTTTCAGGAAATCATACATATTATTTTAAATATTTTCCCAAAGCTAACATTCACCTAATGTTAATGATGGTCATTTCTGAGTGATGAATTTTGAGGAGTTTTACTTTCTTCTTGGTATTTTTCTGTATTGCCCAAATTATTTATAATGAGTATATGTTACTTACTTAATTAAAAACGGTCTTTTTAAATACACACAGCAGGTGCCAAAAAAATGTATTCACATTTTAAGAAAGGAAAAAACTGTAGTAAAATTGTAATACTCAATATATATCAATAACAAAAGATGCATACGAGTCATGTGTATACATTTTTTTGGCACCCCCGGTAATTTTTGAATGAGCTATTATGGTTTTACCCCCTTTACTATATTTTTAGGACTAATGATGCTCCAAGGCTTTCTCGAACTTTTTATCCTTTGGGCTCTAATGGCCAGCTCATTAAAAAAGCAAAAGCAAAAAAAGAGAAATACACAACATCATGGAACTACCATAAGGTCCCACAGACTTAAAAGTAAGTTTCATGTTTAAAACAAAAGTCCTGCTCCCCAATCCCATGGTCAGGAACATCTGTGCAATACATTACCTCCATGATCTGACGCATGAATGGAGCTCAAAGTCACATGTATAAAATCACAGTATTAATCTATGGGCCCAAAGGCTAAGCCACCAGGAATCATAAACAATTAGGGAAGTTAAGCTATTAAAATTGGGAAATCGAGGGGGGAAAACGGCAAAGTTACAGAGGCAAGGTATTGGTAGGTGGAAGGGAGAGGAAGAAAGAAAAAGCTAGGGGATATTAGAGCTCAGTATCTACCTCTAAGTTTCCAAGGAAAAAGAAAGTGATTTTTAAGCCATTAGAAATATCTCTTGTGTGTTCCTATTTTTTCAAGAAATCACAGGTATTTAGAATTATAAAACTCCAGCTCTACTTTCACCACAAATAAATTTATAAAGGATAAAAAAATCAACTCACCTGCCTGGCGTACTGGGAATTCCACATGGTCAGAGACTATAATCCGAAGTAAACTGGGGGCAAAATTGATAATCTTGTAGGACTGAAATTACAAAGAAATATTTTATAGTAGCACCTGTTGCTATTTACTTACACTACTGTAAGTAAAAGGCAAACTTTTAAAGTAAGAAAAACTCTCCAACGCAAAATGAAGATTACTAAAATACTTCAAGTCTAAAAAAATGTATTTAGAATTAATTGATGAATAGGAGTATGAACATTTTTATTTATTTATTTTTTACATATATGGTCAAAATGCTCTCCAGAAAAGGTATAGCAATTGACACTCCCAACAGTAGCATATGAGTGTTCACCTATCATATATAAGTATTAGCATTATCATTCCTTCAAAACTTTAAAATATTATTCATATTTTAAATTACATTTCCTCTAGGTTGAATTTTTTCCTGTTTGTTAGCTCTTTGTTTTTCCTACAAATTCCTTTTTCCCTTTATCCTTTTGTAAGTGAAACATTTGTTTTAGTCTTAATAAATTCTAAGCGCTATTCATAAATTTACAATCTCATCCTTTTAGTTGACCTATATATTGCAAGTATTTCCACCCACCTTATTTGTGCTTCAGTTTTATGGTTTTTTGACAAACCAAACACAGAAAAGCATGCTACAGGAAACAAGATCGGATACAGGAAAATGGACAAGATAGTACGTTAACTAAGTGTGCATGCGCTGCGGAGAGGAACCAGTCCAGACTGGAACAGTGTGCTTCACAATGCTAAGAGCTGTCATCAGCAGCTGCTGGAGTATCTTTTAAACTTAACAAATGTCCAAGTGAGCCCGTGTTGACGAAGTGCCTGCTGCCTGGGTCATTTTACCCCCCAGAAATGTTCTACTTTGACTTACTCCTGAGTTTGGCCATGACTTTAGAAGCCCCCCGCCGTCCCCCCCCCCAAAAAAAAACCAGAGCAACCCATTTCATCTAACCATATTGCCACCAGATGTCTAGTACCTAGACAATATTACTGCCCTGCCACATTCCCAGAGCTTATACGGGGCCTTGCCTGCTGACATTCCCAGAAAAGACCTATAAATTCTCAGGAAGGCTAAAGCCAGACAAGTGAAGCAGAGAGTCTGTTCAGCTTACCTTCTCCCAGGAGCCTGGATCAATGGTGGCATCCTTTTCATACCACTTTAATTTTTTTATTTGTCACCTTTCCTATTTATTTACAATAACATTAAGACAACTCTTTGACTAAAAAAATTTGGAAAAAACTATCATGATTAAAATACTGATCCTTTCCATCCAAGAACATTATACTTTCCAAACATTTCTATATCCTTCAGTAACATTTTGAATTATCTGAATTGTTCTTCTTTCCATCCTGCATAAACCACAGAATCTTAAATCTGTTGTATGTTAAGTAAATTCTGTTTTATCCATTATTGAAACCACCAGAATTTTAAAGTACTTTTTAAGAAAATATTTAACAGCAATTTATAGGAGTCAAAATTAATACAGATTTAGCCCAATATCTACACTTTCTACATTTACATTATTATAAAATAATTCATGTTTATAACTTTTGAGATACTGGAATATCTTATAGAGAATCAAATGTCTATATAGTTTACTATATATTGGGTTGTGGGAAAAGTCATGACATATTTTTTCTATGTTTTTCGTTGCAAAAATGCGTCATGACTTTTCAAACAACTAGTTAGTTGTTATTTTAAAAATCTTATTACACTTAAGTACAAAATAACCTTTACACTTAGATTAAGGCTCCTGATTTAAAAGTAGTTATTGAGGAGGCTATTTTTATTTCAACACTGTTACCATTGTACACATTTTGTAACTCCTTTTTTTTGCAACTGTTTGCCATTCAAAGAACTTCTGCAACTTTTTGTCTTCTCCTTTCAGCCATGATTCACTCTACATTAATTTGGCCTGCTAAAACATTCAATGGTCAATTCAGATGTATTCTCATACTACTTTCCTCACAAATATTTATCCAGTTTCTTTCTCCACCTTGGGGCTTCACATTTCCAAGGGGAAACACAAGATATTTCTCAATAATTTCTTGAAGATATTTACTTGGTATCTGTTAAGTTTTCTGAAAATAGTTCTCTTGCTTAACAAAATTCTGCATTTTGTGAGAATGCATTTAAAGCAAAGAATGTTTTCCCATTCTCTGCCTCACTGCCCCCACTACACTAACTTTCCTGGTCCTCCAAAATGCAAAGTTGAGGGCCTCTGCTGAACTTGCCCTTCCCTGTGTTCCTCTCCCATTTCTTCACCTGGTTCTCTCCTTCACACCTAGGTCTCTGCTCAATGTCATTCTTCAGAGAATGGCCACACCATTTCTATATCACAACACACTCTCTCTAGGGCTTTAAACCTCTCTATAGCCCTGATGACCTGAAATTATATTATTTACTTGTCTGCATCTCCCACTAGAATGTAAGCTCTATGAAAGCAGAGTCCTGTACTAGTACCTTCAATATAACTCAATAAATATGCTACTCATATAAGCAAACCCTCTTAAAGAGCAATAAAAATGATACCTACAGATACACGGAAAAGCAGGGATTCCAGAGCAAGGCAATGAAAGTGCATATCTGTTATATGTGCTCCAATGTTCATTGCAGTATTTACGGTAGCCAGGACATGGAAAGAACCAAAGTGTCCTTCGATAGATGACTGGCTAAAGAAATGTGATATATATACACAATGGAATACTCCTCTGCCATAAGAAAAGATGAAATAGCGCCATTTGTGACAACATGGATGAAACCTGAGATTATTATGCTAAGCGAAATAAGTCAGACTGAAAAAGTCGAGAACCATATGACTTCACTCATATGTGGGATATAAAACTGAAAGCAACAAAAGAACAAGACAAATAAAGAAACAAAAACTCAGACACAGACAACAGTTCAGTGGTCACCAGAGGGTAAGAGGGAGGAGCGATAGTAGAAGAAGATAAAAGGGGTCAAATATATGGTGATAAAAGGAGAAACAACTCTGGGTGGTGAGCACACAATGTAATATGTAGATGATGTATTACAGAATTGTACACTTGAAACCTATGTAATTTTACTAACCGTTGTCACACCAATAAATTTAATTTTTTTAAAAAGTACATATCTTTATTGCCCTGTTGAGGCCATGTGGGGAACGATTTATTAAAAGAAGACACCTTTCTGGATGAGTCACTGGAGAAAGATATCTACCCATTCCTACTTCCCTATGCTGCTGCCAAAGGAATTCTGGGTCTAGGGACAGTGAGGAATGTGTACAGGACACTCTTCATATCCTGAGATAAAAATTCAAATGCATTTTCCCATAGAAACAATATCAGAAATAGCAATCAAGGAACTAGTCGCTGGTGAATGAAATTACATTGGCCACAGAATACAGCTCCAAATAAAAATTCACCCTTTGGAATACAGGCTGCTACGTTTTGAAGCTGACTAACTACTCTTCTAAATAGCACTGACAAATCAATCAGCACATTGTAGAAGCTACCTCCATTTCTGATGCAGAACATATTTGCTGAAGGGGGACCAAGACTAAACTATTAATAAATGAGCTGGACCCTAATCACTTATGGTAGATTACCCACCTCTTTATCCCACAAAGTAGCATGGTAAAGGATAAGCATACAAAATCTTACATTATAACCATGTTGTACTATAAGATTATATACATACTTTAGTCTTCTACTTACAGACAATTCAAAAAAATATTTAGTGAGAGCATATTATAATCCAAAGCATTATACAAAAATATAAATGCTAAATGAGTGGCATAACAATCTGCTACTTTTATACACTGCAGAGGGAATTGTATACTGTGAGTACCTAGGGGAATATGGGGCAGGGCAGAGCGAGGATGGAATGGATTTGGATTGAAATACCATGAAGAAAAAGACAGAGTCCAAAACGTCTCTTCTATTTCTAAGGCTCTCCTAGCTACCTTTTCCACTTCCAAAATGTCAACTGCGCTTATATATTGATGAATCAGAAATAAAGAGTAGGCTAACAGAGGTAGAAAAGTATAACATGATTATCAAAGAGATGATCCCTATCAACACTGTCAAAGGAACATCTGGCCTCACTGTGAGGTGAAGGGGGTCACAAACTGACCAGCTCCTCGTTCATATTTGTAGATCGCAGGTTCAGCTCTTGCTCGGTTCCTTCTAACCAACCCCTGGATTGCTATTCTTCTAGCCAATCAACATATAGCACTTCTACCCTGCAAAGTCTGAAATAGGTACTGACTCGAACTTTTTCTTATTCTCAGTGAGAGTCCTGTTCTTTTTGAAACACCAATCCATTCCCTTCCGGCTTCAGTTCAACTCAACCTTCTCTCCAGAGTCCGTGTTTTCACCCTCCCTTTTATCTCCTGGGAATCCAGGGTTCACACACTTACTCCAAACTCCACCCAGATTTCTCATTAGTGTCTTTCAAAAATTCACAGGGCATACCTGAGCTTTTAAAGTCAACGCCAACCAGGGAAACCCTGAGAGTGAACTCGTACAGAAACATTTACTTAGGACAGTCGTCCTCACACTTTAGGAAGCACGGAATCACCTAGCTAATTAACACACCCACCCAGAGTTTCTGATTCTTGAAGTCTAGAGCAAAACCCCATAATTTGCATTTCCAACACGTTCCCAGGTGATGTTGGCGCTGCTCATCCTGGGCAACACTTTGAGAACCACTAATTTCGGGATCCTCCTTTTCATTGTAAGGATTACCGCCACCTCAAAGGGCTGTGCCTCTCTACCCTGGGGCGGGTAGACCTTCCTTCGTCCGTTTCAGTGAGAGATCTATAGGATTCACTCCTACAGGTGAAGAGGAAAAAAAAATAAGCTCGAGTTTGGGATCACTAAAATTTCGAAACGCCAGTAGTAACGCTGGACAAGGGCGAGGCTAGTTCGTAAGCCTAGAGGATGAAGGATGAAAGAACGTCTTACACAGTTTAGCGTGCGTTAAGAAACCCCTCCAACGCGTCTTATCCGGGGTGCCTTTTGTAAAGCAGCCAGCAGTGCCAGCCTGAGCGTCGCCCGCTGCCCCCCAGCCTGCCCGGCGCCGGCAGCGGCCGCTCTGCCAGCCAGGGTCACCCCGGTCCTGCCGCCGAGCCCACGACCGCGGGCGACGGGCAGGCGTCTTCCCCGCAGCAACGCCGAACAAGGAAGGGCTGGGTCTGGAGACACGCTGAACTCGGGTTTGACTTTTCAGCGCACGAACCCGCCCGCGTCCCCAAGTCGGCGTTCGTACAGCCATCACACCCTGAAACACAGCAGCAAAGGCTGCTGCTTCACGCCTCCTCTTGGCGGACCAGCCCGGCTGAACCAACTGCACCGGGGAAGGGAAACGACGTGGAAAAAAAAGCAGCCAAGGTTAACCAACAGGTGCGAGGGCTGTTCAGAAAAAGGTCCCGGGAGCGCGGCTGGGCCGGACCCTGGCGCGGGGGGCGGGGGGCGCTGCAGGCCGGAGCCGCGCGGGTCCGGCGCCCCGCGGGGGGTGGAGATCGGGGCGCCGAGGAGGGACAGCCGGGGGCCCGCGGGGGGCGCCGCAGGCCCGCTCCTCACCTGGTTGAGCTCATTCTCGGCTGCAATCCGCAGCTTCGGGTCGATCGTGCCCTTCAGCGCTTGGATGATCCGGTTGAGGTCCATCTCCCCAGGTGGGGGCTCCGCGGCCCCCGGACCAGTAGGCCAGACTGCAGCTTTAGTTTTTCTTTCGACCCTCTCAGCCTCCTCCTCCGTGACCCTGGCACTCCCTCACTTTTCACCCCCCGCCCCCGTCGCCACCTGCAGCCACTTGCTGCGCCACTCTGACTCCGCGCCCCCTGTCCTCCCTTTCTACCCCCCACAACTCGCTCTCCATTCACCCTTTTACGACAGCCGATGGGAGGCGGGAGAAGTAAGAAGAGGAAGCGGCGCCTCCTTTACGGCAGCCTCTTCCCCCGAGCGTGAGGCTATGGCGGCCTCCTCCACGCGGCCGGCATGCTCCTGTACGGAAAGTCGTCTCAGCTTCTCCGAAAAGGAAGCTGCGCTCACTACGACCGGCAGGCGGCCGCCATGCTGCGTACGGAAAAGAGCTTCTNCTGATCCATGCTACAATATGGATGAACCTTGAAACTATTATGCTAAGTGAAATAAGCCAGATACAAAAAGACAAATATTGTGATTCCACTTATATGAGGTGCCTAGAATAGGGAAATTCAGAGAGACAGAAAGTAGAATAGAGGTTACCAGGGGCTTCAAAGAGGGAGGAATAAGGAGTTATTGTATAATGGGTAGAGTTTCTGTTTGGGGTGATGAAAAAGTTTTGGAAAGAGATAGTGGTAATGGTTGTACAACAGTGTGGATGTACTTAATGCCACTGAATTATACACTTAAAAATGGTTAAAACAGTAAATGTTTATGTTATGCGTATTTTACCATAGTAAAAAAAAACAAACAAAAAACCTTCTGGTTTCTGACAGAATTTAAACCCAAGTACAAAAGTTAATCTTCTTGCTGTTATGCAATTGTAATAATGCTCACTGAGAATGAAAGCTATATAGAAAAGGGTACTTTTTCAAAAATTAAAGATGAATGAAAAAAACTGATTTACTAAATTTCTACCATGTGACAGACAATGATTTGTCCAGACTCCAGCCATTGTCTATAAAAGCGCACTTCTTTTACTCTCTAGCCTCCTTATCCTGCTCCATTTTTCCTCACAACACGTAGCACCTGATGTATTACATATGTGAATATTTTTCTCTCTAGCTCCCCACTTCCATAATAAAATGTAAGCTTCTTGAGCACAGAGACTTGTCTCGTTTTCATTGTTACAACCTCAGTGATTTAAGAATAGTGTCTGAAGGGCCGGCCGAGTGGCTCAGTTGGTTAAGAGCTCGCTCAAGAGTTTGAGCTCTGAGCAACAGCGGTTCGAGTCCAGCCNCCCCGCCCCCTCGGTCCCCCTGCGCCACCAACTCTTCCCGGTCCGGGAAAGGAACTGGTTGATTAGGTGTCTGTCTCTTTATAGCTGCTTCCCAATTAAGCATGTATAGATGGACTGGCATTTTTTATTAGTTCGAGAACTGTCTGGGCATCACAATTGAGCCTGTTCCAGGGCAGAATTTTGGGGACTTTGAAGATCTAGCCCACAAGAGAACAGGGCTTCCTCGGTCTGTGGGAGCCGTCATTCGTTCACTCACTCAATTCACTGAACATTTGTTAAACATATTTTTGAACCCGAGCACTGAAATATGGAGGTACCACATTATAAGACGATGAATTTGATGCACGTTACTAGGAAAGAATTTACAATCTGATAGAAGAGAGAAATGTAAACAGATAAAATATATTTACAGAGTAACTCTGGAAATACAGAGATCAGAGTGACTACGTGCCTGCGAGTTCCTGAAAAATTGATGGACCTTCTCAGAAAAGTAGTGACAGGCATAGAAGGGTTATACTGTTTCCACTCACTATGGCCATATCTTCTTAATGGCATAAAAATATTAAGGAGCTATGTCTTCCTGTGGTTAACCCAGAGAAGGGAGTTCTAATTACATTTCGTAAATAATAAATAAGATGACTGTGGAAAAAATACATCTGAGGGGATGTGATCTTTCCAGGAGCAGAAAATTATGACAGATTGGTCCAATTAACTGAGTTCAATCAGTTGGATAGAATATAGGTAGCAGAAAACTTGGCTGCCTGAAAGCTATCCCCTCTGCAGAGGCTGTGAGATGACATCCCTCAGCTGGGTGCAAAAGTGCCTAGCAATATGTCTATGATTGCTTCCGGTTTTGCCCTTCTTTAATCCACCTCCACACTGCCATCAGAGTAATGTTTCTTAAGGGTTAATACTGTCATGTCCTTCCCTTGATGATTTCCCATCCATTTCAAGATAAACTACAAACTCCTTAGCACTCCGGGTTTTAGAAAACATACTGCTTTTCATCTCCACGCTATTTCTCTAACCCACTCTCTTGCTCATGATAATCTAAACCTCCTTGACCTCTGAATCTTAACTCCAGTATCTTCTTTTCAAGTTAGGACCTATTCTTCTATCTCTCCCTCAATCGTTCTACACGTTTTCCAACTCAGTCACTTTTCTAGTTTTCCTTAGTTTATTCCCGACTACACATCCTTCTTCGCTATTAAACTCCAGATTCACTTCTCAAGTCTACCCTGACCCATTGTACAATTTGACATCATTACAAATGTGTGTTTTCTCAGGCTCAACAATGCTATTCCTTGTCTTTGATCAGTACCACCTCCCATTCTCTCAACTGTTCCAACCCTCAAAACTCTTTTCAAACTTCCTACCCTTCTCACAGAGCCCTGCAAAGATGAGCAAAGCCATCAGGCTCAACTCAAGCACAAATTTATCTCTGCTTACCCTTCTTCACTTTCTCCCTTCAATCTGAATCCAATCCTCTCCTAACTCCTTTAGAACCTTGTTCCATAAATCTCTCCTTCCTTCTGTATATGTTTTTTTCAGTATAATTAATTTTGAGTATTATTACATGCTCATTGTTGACAATTTGTAAAACTTTTTCCTATATTTTCTGCCTTTCTCTACTGATTCGACCTCAGCCTAAAAATATTTCCCCTAGTTAAAAAACAATCTTTCCTCAGTAGTGCTTTCTAATTATTGTTCCTTCTTTTTCACTTTTCATTCCAAAGAATGGTATTCATTCATTGTCTCTACTTCCTTATTTCCTGTTCATGCTTCTATCAACTATCCCCAGGTATCTGCCCTTATTTCTCCCACCAGAATTTCCAAGCAAAAATCAACATTGATCCCTTACAATACCAAATGCAAGAGACATTTCCAGTTTTCATCTTTAAAAGAGTCTCTCTGGTACTGAGACCATATTATATGCTCTTGTTTTTTAATATATCTTTCCTTGTTTTCTCTTGAAAAATCTATTCCTAACCCTTTGATTATTCACTTGATCACCCAACTCCTAAACACTGGTGCTTCTCAGAACTCTTGAATTCTTTTCCACCCATTCTACTTTTGTCATTTCATCCACTTACATAACTTTAACCGTCAATTCAGCAAGGACAACTAACAAAACCACTACTAACCAAGATCTCTTTCCTTAAACTAGATGAATCCCAATGCCTACTACATTTCTATCTGAATGTACCCAAATCCTTTAAGGCACATGTCTAAAACTGAACTCTGGTAGCATAAAGATGGTTTGGAGTAGGGAGAGACTTGTTGCAGTCATTCGATAACGTAAAAGGATAGATTTTTTAAAATAGTGAAACCACCAAATGCTGGCAAGGATGCAGAGGCACTGGATCACTCATATATTTTTGGTAGGAGTATAAAATGGTACAGCCTCTCTGGAAAGCAGCAGGTAAGCAAACTGTGGCACATCTATACCATGGACTACTATTGAGCAATAAAAAGGAATGATACAATGACCTGGAGAATCTTCAGAGAATGATACTAAGGGGAAAAAAAACAGGTCACAAAAGGTCACATACTATCTGATTCCATTTATGTAACAGTTTTTATATATAACATTCTTAAAATAACAAACTGTAGAAAGAACAGATCAGTGGTTGTGAGGGGTCAAAGTGGGGGTGGGGGAAGAGGGATGTGGGCGTGACTATAAAAGAGCAACATGAGAGATTCTTGTGGTGATGGAAATGTTCTGTATTTTGAGAATATCAATCTTAATATCCTGTGATATTGTACTATAGTTTTGCAAGATGTTACCATTGAAGCAAATTAAAGATACACAGGATCCATCTATGTTATTTCTTATAACAACATGAGTATTTACAATTATCTCAAAATAAAAATTTTAACAAAATATAAGATTAAAAAGAGAGTTGATGTTCCCATGAAAACTTCATGTGCTGTGGACTCAGTGAAGAAGTTACTAAAAAACAAGGCTGTCAAATTAGCAGTGTCTGAGATAACGGGATGGGGGGAAATCATGATTCTGTTAGATTTCTTTGCAAGTGTTTTTTTAAAGTTTTCCCTAAAATATAACTGTTTCACTTACATTTAGTGCATAATATGAGAGGATGTCTGTATTTATTAATAACCTCACCTTGTTTAAGGTAGAATTTGAACCAGCTATATTATCTTCTTGTATTTTCATGGTTTACATATACCTCATCTTTCTGTTCCTGTTTCCTCATCTGTTTCCGAGAGCTGTTGTGAAGACTAAATTAGATAAGCACATTGCTCATGGTACATGCTCAGTATTAACTATTATCATTATAGTCTATTTAAAAGGAGAGAGGAGAGACCTTATTCGACTTTTGATGACATAGTGAGCATCTCACACTATACCTGGCACATAATAAGCCATCAATAAGTACTGCTGAATGAATAAATGAATGCATATAACAGAAAAAGAGGGTTCTGAAACAGGATATCCACAGTAGGAATAAAGGAGGTAAGACAGCAATGAGACATTTCACAAGTTGAATTGACAGGAATTTGTGATTGATTAGTAGTAAAAAGAAGTCAAGAAGGATTCTAAAGTTTTGATGACCTGTGGAGGTCATTAACCAGAGAAAATGGAAGGGGTATTAGATTTTGGAGGAAAGATGAATTTGGCTGTGGATATGTTGAACTAGATGTGCTTATGGATTAAACAGCTAGAGACTTCCAGTGACAACTGGAAGCCCACATCTGGCACCCACAAAAGAGCTGGGAGAGAAGGCAGGAAGCTATGGCAGGGGGAAGAGGAAGGGATAAAGGGATGGAATTAGAAAACTATGAGTCATCTGCGTCGATAGGTTAGTTGGCACCATAGAAGTGGATGTCATTACTCTAGAAATATAGCAGAGAGTGATTACAGCTCAAATTACAGAAAGTCATTTTTTACTCCAAGCACTTCCACTGTGGCTTTTGAGACTTAGCACTTTAGTCATGTAAATGGAATACCACACAGCTGTCTTCCCCATCTGTTGGCAGCAGCTCATCTGCTGGTACATGTTAATAAGCTTGAATCTAACCCATATGGTAAAGAGAAAATGGGAGCGAAAACCCAATGCACAAAAATCCCTACCTGTACATTTAACAATACATCTTTTAAACTATGTTAAATAACCTGTAGGTGAATACTGAAAAGTTTGTGATTAAATACCTTTACTCCAAAAGTATCGATACTGGCAAAGCACCTGAAATACATGCAAGATTATATACGTACAGCTTATAAGATCTTTTGTATTTTGTTAATAGAAGTCAACAGTAATCTCCTTTACAATGTCACATGTAACAAAAATCCCTGAATAAAATTTTCTAACAGAATGTGACAGACTTCTCAGTTAAAGAGGAATTTAAAAGGAGAGAAAGAAAGAGAGAGGAGAGGGAGGGAAGGAGGGAGGGAGAGGGGGAGAGACAGAGAGAGAGAGAGGGGGGGAGGAAGGAAAAGAAAGAAAGAAAGAAAGAAAGAAAGAAAGAAAGAAAGAAAGAAAGAAAGAAAGAAAGAAAGAAAGAAAGAAAGAAAGAAAGAAAGAGTGATATGTAAGCTAAAGTAATGGATTAGGGCGTTTCTAAACAGAAGCCAGAAACTTCCTTCTCCAAGAGACTAAAGAGGTAGTGGTGATGGGAGGGACAGAAGCTAAAAATAGTAGCATTAGCTCAACTGAAGAAGAAATATCTACTTTCAAATCAGTTTTTTCCTCAAAACATGGTTTCTTCATTTCTGGAGCTTTCCACATTTCACACTGGATAAGGAGTTATCCTGCCTCAACTTCAGGACCTATGAGAAACTACAACTTATGACAGACTCAACTGAGTCCACTTGTTCCAGTTCACAAGTTTATTTTGCCATAGCAAAGCTGAGCAGTGCACCAAAGACAACAGTGTGTGCAAAACAGCAGTGGAAATCACAGTGAAGGCAACAGTACCTGAGAACTGAAAAAGGGAAAAAAACACTAGGCTGTATTTGGACTTGAGAGAACTAAGTCTGGCTCAGGCACTTCTGCCAGTGGCCTTAGAAGTCACTGTCCCCGAATCTCAGTTTTCTTATCCCCTAAAACAGTACCTACCTCACAAGGGCCATTGTGAAGATCAAATAAGATTATGTAGATGAGAGTACTGTGTAAATTATGAGGTGAAATGCAAATAGTAGTGAAAGGTAGTAGAGTAGTTAGGTTTTTATGGTTTTACTCTTTTAGGTTTTACTCTTCCATATGTTATCCCAGGCTTATTGATAATGAAAGAAACCCTCAAGCTCTAGCCAAGGTAACACAAGGCAGGGTAAGTACCATAGCAATCTACCATTTTATCTTAAGATTTTTTTTTAATAAAAAAATGTGATATGTACGTTTCAAGTTTGACAGTAAGATTCAGAATGAAAAGTAAGTCTTGGGCCAGCCGAGTGGCACGTTGATTAACAGCTGGCTTAGGACGCCAGCTCTGAGCAGCAGGGCCCCGGTTCGGATCCCACATGGGGGCCAGTGACACTGCCCTCTACAGCTAAGATGGTGAACAACAGTTCAACCTGAAGCTGGGCTGCTATGAGTCACCGGCGATGGCATAGGCTGCAGCCCCTGCTGCAGTGGGTTGCCATAAGCTACCGAGCGTAGCTAGCAGCCAGCGTAAGCTGCCAAGACCTGCCGCAAGCTGCCATCCAGTGGCCAGTGACTAATCTGCCTCATCCGGGAAGAGTGCAATGATAATACCAACATGGGCCAGTGAAGTGACGTTCACAACAACTAGACTGAAGAACAAAAGGACAGCAACTTGTCTGTTCCCCTTCCTCGATTCCCCAACACTGTTCCCCTCCCTCAATTCCCCAATAAAATCTTAAAAAAAAAAAGGAGCAAGCTCTTAGAGGTAAAGTAACTGGCCCAAGATTAGTAACTAAGTGGCAAAATCTGCACTCAAACACAGCATTGCCTGACCACAGACCTAGGCTTTTCGATGACTAAACATTTTGATATTCAAATTAAATTGAGAATCCACTAGAAAGCATAAGTATTACTGATGGTGAACCAGTGGTATTACCTGTGCATCTTCTATTTTCCTTGTATTATTATACATGTAGTAGGTACTTGATAGCTAACTAGGCTAGCACATGCCCTACTACAAGATAGCTTTAAGGAAAGTATGTGATTTGGCCAATGGAAAACAGACAAAATCTTCTGATGAGTAACATGTATAATAGCAATAGCAGAAAATGCACAATAGAGAAAAGTAACTCTAAAAGGAACTGTTCTATATAAAAGGCTTTGTATTTTCAAATCCTAATATGAACCCATAAATGTCCTTACTATTCAAGAATTATCAGTAATGAATACTAAAAATTAAATATTTTAACCTCTCAACTAAATGTTTAATTAAATAAGAACAATGAAGGTGCATGTAAGTTTTTTTTATTGAGGCACAACAAGGCATTATAACTTGCCTGAACTTGAGGCTGAGTCAGTTTAGTAAGCTGAACATTAATACAGTTAAGGATTAAGTGCAAACAATATACATTCACAGCTTGACTAGAGAGGCTACATCACAATCTATAAAGTGCCAGATGAGTGCTAGCTGTCATTCAGCTTGAAACGTTTCACCTTGGAGAGGAAAACAAAAAAGTAAGGACCTCTTCCTTCTTCTAGGAATGAAAACATTTTCCTAAACCAACCAGTCACGAGGTCCTTTAATCTCACTAGTGAGAATCCCACCAGTGAGAACATCAACCTTTCATTAATTCTATACTGACTTTCAATCCTGATAAAGAAGATAACCTGAAAATGTAGAATATTTCCAGCTACTTCCATAAATGGCTCCCCTGTGCAAGCGTAGCCATATCTGGTCTCCCTGGAAGAGCTGAAGAATTGCATGGTTGCTGGCAGTTTCGTGGTCTGGAGCACCATCATTGGCATAGGCAGACACCAAGACCTCTTCGTTCTTCATGAGGTTGACATACAGTGGCACATTTACTGCCAGCTTTAGCATATGAAAAATGAAAACATAAGTGCCATTCACGGGGCAATTAAATCTACCGAGCTGAAGATCAAACGTTTCTCCCAGGTTGTTCAGAAGAAGATCAAACACGATAGGTTGGTCTAAAGTTCCCGGGGCGAGATTAGAGGTTCTGGCTGCTGAAAAGGCAACTCGCATCTGCTGAGGCAGGGGATAGACATGTACTGGCAGTATGGCGGCTGCTGGATTTGTCACTGGCACATCCACAGGGGTCATGCTACGGGAGTCTCCTTGTCCAGAGTCACCACTGTTAAAAGTGTCGTTGTCTCTTTCCGGGCTGCTCACCTGAGAAGAATCACTCCACCCTGCTGTTTTATTAGCAACAGTGAGTTTCTCATAATGAAGCAGTTAGCTTTGAACACAATATTTAACATTAGTTGGCTACTGAAACATGGATAAAGACACATTTTACAGCAAATTCCAAAACAAAAGCAATGAAATATAGCTACAGTATGCTTTTCTAGATTCTTCTGGCAATAGACTTTTATATCACTATTCTAGAGGCAGAAGGGACCCTAAGATGACCTTATCTAGAAGAGTCTTTTTTTTTAAGATTAAGAAAATAAGGCCCCCAAAAGGTTGGATAATTTACCACTAGTTAAGTTTAGTTAGCAAAGTCTAAAACCCAGGTTTGCACATTCTTTTTTCTTCTTTACCTTTTTCCCATAATTCTCACTCTGTTCCTAACTCCTCAGTGATAAACCTACTCAAAGTATCTAATATAGAAGGACTCCAGGAAACTGAGATTACATAAAAGAACCAACTTTTAGAACTACTAGCTATTCAAAGATATTTTGTCATGGTACTAAGCTCCATGATGAACGCTTGTTCTTTATTTCTAAGTTAATGTGATATCATGAAATGATACTGTTTTAAGTACTATACAAAAAACACTGCTCAGGGCTGGCTGAGTGGCGCGATGGTTAAGAACTGGCTTGGGACGCCAGAGGACCCCGGTTCGGATCCCACATATGAGGGCCAGTGACACTGCCCTCCACAGCTAAGATGCTGAACAACAGCTCAACCTGGAGCTGGGCTGCCGTGAGTCGCCGGCGACGGCGTAGGCTGCAGCCCCTGTGGCAGTGGGTTGCCATGGGCTACCGTATGTAGCCAGCAGCCAGCGTGAGCAGCCAGCAGCCGCAGTGAGCGGCCGTCCAGAAGCCAGCGACTGATCTGCTCACCCAGGAAGAGCGTAATCATGGTGCCAACTTGGGCCAGTGAAGCAGTGTCCTCCACAACTAGACTGAAGAACAAAACGACAACTTGTCTGTTCCCCTTCCCCCAATTCCCCAGCACTGTTCCCATCCCCCGAATTCCCCAATAAAAATCTTAAAAAACAAAACAAAACATTGCTCAGATGTAAAGCAAAGGACATGTAAAAATTGGCTACTTTCTTAAAAGGAAAAGATTGTTTTCCTGTGACAAAGTTAATCTTCAGTGATTCTTGATTTTCTCAGTTACACTGAATCTTTTAATAGTACCTTCACATTTTAAAAAAATATTACAAGTATCCTGCTTTTATTTCAAGTTTCAATGGTTTCTTAATTGTAGCTTATTCCTATCTATCAATGTAGTGATATTAGAATATCTGGAAGTGCCCATTATTACAAAAACCATCATCCTGAAATATCACATGAAACTATTTGATGTCATCATTGTGAATATATATCTAAGGTTAAATTATGCTCTGGTGTCAAGAGAATTGAACCAATTGATCTCTCTCTCTCTCTCTTACTCTCTCTCTCTCATTGAAAACTGGTTTCCAAGCCTTTCTAAGTAGTCTAATATCTTCCTCAGGTCTCAGAACTACAACTTAAGCAAACTGAAAATCTCAAAATAAATGCTGAAAACAATGTACTTTTGGGAGAACTTACAGAGGATGAAGAAAGATCTAGAGGTATGTATTGGCTAAATAAACTACTCAGTTCATTATCCTTACCTCTTGAATTTGCCCGAGGACCACCAGATGTCCCTCCTCGCTTGTAACACTGCTGGAAATTATCCTAAAATAAACACATAATATTTACCTCCACACCAAACATGTAAGACAATAATTAGTTATTACTAAGTATTATTGGCTGGTCAATCTGTAAGATTAAAGTCCTCTTAGCTCTTTGTCTGGCTTTCTCCAGCAACCAAAAAGTATCAGATATCTCCAAACACCAAGAAAAACAAATCACACAAGGGCAACAGTAATGATACTTGCTTCATCTGCTAATTAACCTGACCAATTAGATAGGTTAATACTTGCAAAAACAATCAGCATTTAAAGACACTATGTAAAAGATATATTGCTAGATAATGGGAGAAATTCAGAAACATGGCATGATCTCATAAATATGTCCCTCATCTCAATATAAAAGGAGATAATAAAGCAAGAACACAGACTATTTCAATCTTGCTCTATTTATAAACCACATTGTAAAGACAATTACAAACTATGCTAGGCTTTGTTTTGTCTTGATAAGAGAATTGATGAAAACTGCATTGTATGAATGTATTATTGCCTGGAAATGTAATCTATTCTCTTCAAGAAAAAAAAATGTTCAAGAGGCAACATTTCAAACTGACTCCCAAGTACAGTAAAAGTCTGCCTCCATACAACCCATGGAAAGAATAATTAGTGGTGTAATTAGATTAATGCATGTAATAAAAAATGTAAACAGTGCAAGAAGATATAAAAATGAAAATAATAATTAAGTCTCCTAACCAGACTCCTAGTTCTCTTTCCAATAGCAACCACTATTATTATCTTACATTTCCTCAGGACGAAATTTAAAGCAGCACACAAAAATACTAGAATATTGGTGTTAAGAACAGATAGTAGCTCCGTTACTGAAGTCTACAATAATCAATGCACTCCATTCACACCCAGTACCTGAGAATCATGTAATAAATAGCTAATCATATTTGCATGCTTGATACACACCTGGCATTGTGGTGCCAAGCACTTATATGTATTAGTTCATTTAATCCTCAGAATATCTCATAGTAAGATCTCACAACACCTCAAAGTGAGATGACAACTGAAAAAGGTGAGTCTTCATCTAACAGAGGAGGAACTGGAGCTCAGAAAGTTTAAGTAACATGACCGCAGTCACACAAGAGATGTGGTGACATCAGGGATCACGCTCACGTCATTTGGGTGACTTGGTATGTTTTCCAAGGGGTGTTCTTCACTCTTTTCAATGCTGCCTTTGTACAGATATCTGTTTTACCTCACATAACGGTAAGCTCTTCAAGTACAGGTACATGATATATTTCCAACAGAACTCAGTATGATAACATATGCATACTTAAAGGCTTGTAAAACTTCAAAACTGAAAATATTGATATAGTATAAATTCATATTCGTATATGACCCACGTCAGGGAATTCCCAAGGTTTGTTAAAGTGAAATGTCTAACATCCTCCTATCAGTCTTTGATCATATGTAGTAAAGAAAATCTGCTGAGCTATTCAAATCAGAAAAAAAAACAAAAAAAAATTGAACTTATATAAAAAAAAAGACTTTGCTATACTTGACATCTAGAAGTTAATTTGAAGGTAATATAGTAAAGTTAAGATCATTGGCTCTGGAGTTAAGAAACTTGCATTCTAATCTTAGTTCTACCGTTTACTTGCTGAGTGACCTTAGACAAGTTATTTAACTTGTTTCTGAATCCATGTCAATAATAACGTGGAGGCATAAATGAGTTAATGCAAATGACGTGATTAATAATATCCTTAAGACCTTCTAAGTTGTCCTTTATCCTCCATGGGTTATTACAAAAGCTTCCAACTAACTCTCCAAAGTTTTTACTTACAAGTAAAAACTAAGATAGCCGTATAACAAATTATGACTCTGCTATAGTTTAATCACCAGCCAAACATCCTGCTGTACTACTACTATTCAACAATGACAACTCTTCTTACCCTTTGGGAATAAGGCGTTCCAGGATACTCTCTAGTTTGGAATTGTAGCTGGCTATAACTTCCATTGGAAATTGAAGGCGGTCCTCTATAAGTATCAAAACCTAGTAAATAAACAACTTACATAAAATTATAAGCAAAATTATACTAAACGTTTAAATTGCCTAATTCCACACCATTTTAAAAGTTAAATTGATCCTATAATGCCATCATTAGATTGACACCTTCTTTAAGCAAACTCTACTAATATTGTTTCCACAATAAAACACATTTATAAACTATTTCTTACTTCAAATAGGCCAACTGTAGAAATTTACTATTGCTGGAATGCAGGTGGGGTTGGGAACTGGTGGTAGAAGAAGTAGGTAGCTAAGCCTTCTGTGTAGAGTGCTTTGCTAACACCAAGCAGTGGCTGGAATACTTGGAACCATATTTAAAACTAAAGAGGATATGATATTACTATTATAGTCTCAAAGTTTATGTTTTTATCTCTGGTATACTCTGGTAGACAAATAACTAGAAAATGGGCATTGTCTAATTATGACACATTTTGGGCAGTCAAGTCAATAACAAAAGAAAGAAATTATTCAAATATGAAAACCAAACTTCATTCCTCAGAAAACATGGTGCCCAACCTTTTACTTTGGTAAGTAACAGGATCAATCTGCTTTTCATACAAAAAGTTCCTCTGTTATACAGAATAAGTATATTAGAAATACTGTATTTTGCAGAAATGGGAAATTTTCTACTACATTCTGTATGGCAACTACAAAAAGGAACAAGGTAAAGTAAAAATAGTTTGAGTCAAGTAAGTATATAGATAAAATAATTCAGTATAATTCAATTTTATTGAGCATACCTTTATACCCACCAGGGGACCGGTACATGTTGGTTAGTAGTCTCCCACCACGAGTACATCCTCTGACAGATCCCCGGCTATTGACAAATGGCTGAGAGGGTCTGGGAAATACATTCGTCTGTGCTGGGTAAAAGGCAAGGCTACCGTTGCTTACTTGAATGGTTCCATCAGGATAACTTGCTGCTTAAGGAAATAGTTTTAGATTCCAAGAGTTAAATGGTAATAAAGATTCAACATTCTTTATACTTAAAAATCACTGTAAAAAGTATAACTATTGCGCTGTGTTGTACAGCTGAAATTAATTCTAAAAAATGTGCATTTCACAATAAAAACAATTAAATATTTAAAGAGAAAAAAATAACTGTATATCCAAAAACAAAAACAAAAAATCACTGTATATCAAAACCTTTAATATAATTTTCTCCTTAAAAAGAAAAGCAGGTGCTGTGTATATATATATGTATGTATATAGAGAGATTAGATATCCTTATTTTAAAAACATATTTAAATAATAGAACATTATTCAGCCTTAAAAAAGGAAATTCTTACACATGCTACAATATAGAAGAAGCTTAAGCAACATTATGCTGACAGAAATGGACCAGTCACAAAAGGACAAATATTGTATGATTCCACTTATATAGCATAAGTACCAAGTAGTTAAATTCAGAGACAGAGTAGAATGGTGATTGCCAGGGTTTGGGGGGAAATGGGGATGGGGC